TGTGTGTGTGTGTGTGTGTGTGTGTGTGTGTGTGTGTGTGTGTGTGTTTTAAGTATTAGTGTGTGCTGGCCTGGCCAGTTTGAGACACCAGTGAGTCACTCTTTCCAATGTCACAGCACTTTTACATGAGTCAGGAAGGGTTTAAGCTTTGAGGGTTGGAGGAAGAGGAAGAGGAAGAGAGGTTAAGGAAAGGCTGAGTTTGCTGCTTTTCTGAGGCTGAAGTCTTTGTCTGGGAAACCAAAGGATTTCCAGTGAATGGCTAACTGAAGTCATGACACATTCTCAACAGAGGTCTTTGAACTCTCTTGGGTTATTATTATATATATATATATATATAGTATAGTATTTATTTTTATTTGTGAGGAACGACACGTCTATTCTTAGCAGTAGTAGTAGAAGCTATTTAAAAAAACAAAACAGTCCCGTTTATCAAGTACACATGATTCTCTCAAGAAGAGTTAATTCACTGACATGAAATAAATAAAATAACTTTAGAACATCTTTTAAAATCGAAAAGAAAAAAAAATTTCTGTCCAAATATGCCGCACAAGAGAATCTGGTGAGATTCTGACTCTTAGATAACTTAAAGCTGCATTTAGAGCTTTATAGCCCAACAATGGCTTAGTGCTGAAAAAAGATTGAAAATCTAATCTTTAAAACTTTTACTTCTTTAAATATCCAGCAGATAAGGAGCAACATTACTGTGTTTGTTCAGCTGATGAATGAAACTCTCCCTTTTATCTCTGTTTAGCTTCTAAATACTCTTTTCTCTGTCGTTTCGACGCATTTCATTCGTTTCACTTGTATTTTTCCTGCTGTGAGAAGTTTAAATGTCTACAAAAATCTCTGAATTTATCCGCTTTTTCTTGGAAACTTCCTTTAGCCCAAAACATGAATCAGTATGCAGTACGGGAAAACTTTCATGACTGTAAAATTGATTGACTACATTACTGTATGACTCTGTTAACCGTGCTCATCCTCTCCTGTCCCCCCTCCAGTACCAAGTGGGTCAGCTGTACGCGGTAGCGGAGGCCAGTAAGGGTGAGACGGGTGGAGGAGAAGGTGTGGAGGTGCAGTGCAACGAGCCCTACGAGAAGGACGGAGAGAAGGGGCAGTACACCCTCAAGATCTACCACCTGAAGAGGTAGGCGTGGGTTATACTCCATCAGAGCTTTTCAGACACAACGGTCACAAACGTTGACAAAGAAAAGCCAATTTGATTTTTAAATCTTCATTTGAGTGAATAGTTTACATGATATTCAACCCTCGTTTCTTTACAACACATTTAAAACTTGACTTCTTTCTTTACAGGGCTTGTAGAAAAGCATTAAAGTAGTCTATAAATATGAGTTTACAGTTCCTCCTCAACGTTGTGGAGTTTGGTTTATGGCTTTTCGCCGGTTACACTCGTTGTCTTTTTGCTTCTTCACAGTTCAAGTATGTGTTGATCTCATTGGTCAACACATCAAACTTTTGTCTTTAGGTTTAATTTAAAAACGTTACCTAAATCTGGAACATTATATGGCATAGAATAAAACAAGTCTACTGAAATGGGCAGGACAATTCGGCTGCAAGAAACATAAGAAAAACAAGATATTAGGGCACCGATATCTAAATCAGCAATAAAACAAACAAGGACAACTGTGCCGTTGACCTGAAAGTGGACGAGGATCTCAACACATCAAACATTTGTCTTTAGGTTTAACTTACAAAACAAACAGTTGGACATTTTGTGAAATGTCCTTCATTGCCGAGAGTTGGATGAGAAGATAAATACAACTCTTGTTGCCCCGAGCCAGCAGCCAGTTAGCTTAGCTTAGTTTAGAGTGCGAAAAAAGGAAGAAACAGCTAGCTTGTCTGTGCAAAGATAAAGAAATCAACCAACCAGAAGCTCTAAAACTCACTAATTAACACAGGATATCCAGCTTGTTGCACCTTTACAAAAGTAAAAGTAATAAGTATAATCTCAGAATTAGAAGTTTTACGGAGGGTTATGTGTCAAACTGTTTCTTGTTACCTTTGGACATGCTAGCATGCTTCTAAGCTACGCTGTGTGTGTGTGTGTGTGTGTGTGTGTGTGGAGATACATTCAATCTGTGTTTTTTCTGTTTGTGCATACTCAATTCACGTTTGTGTCTCTGCAGTAAAGTGCCAGATATCCTCGCTCGGATAGCTCCCAAAGGTTCTCTTTTGGTTAAAGAGGAGGCCTGGAATGCATATCCGTACTGTAAAACCGGTGAGTCCCACCTCGTACACACATGTCGCACACGCAACATGTCACAAACAACATATTGGGTGACTCCATTGTGCAGTAAAGACCAACCCTAGCTGTTCGTATCTTGTGGTGGAATTGATGAAGCCTACACTCTAAAATCAAAACTGGACACAGTGAAGGTAGACGAAAGCTAAAAGTAGCAAGAAAGGAATGCTGGAAATGTGTTTGAGTGCATGTGTGTTTCACACCAGAGCAGAAACCCAGTGTTTTTAATGAAGCCAGACACAAGGCCAACGAGAGAGACTTATTCTATTAGACTCTAAATGGAGTGTGTGTGTGTGTGTGTGTGTGTGTGTGTGTGTGTGT